CAAATATTATTGTGTCCACTGCGACTGCAGACTGCGGCACCCCTGTTGACAACTTCGACATCAACCGCTGTACAGCAAACTCGCAACATGGTCGGTTGGACTTTGCCAGCTGGCGCTCAGCAGACGAAACTTGCCAACTGAATCAGGTGCGTGCGTCGAACTTTGGTGATATACCCAGGTGGAAGCTGTACAGGCGTATCAATTCAACGAACGGCAAAAATGTCGTTGATCTTTCGCCTACTTCGAATTGAAATGAAACGGAGAGAGAGAGACAGAGAGAGAGAGACAGAGAGAGAGAGAGAGAGAAAGAGAGAAAGAGAGAACGCGGAGAGAAGTAGGAGAAACGCCGACAACACCCACCGCGCGACCTTTTCGCGCTGGGGAGCCCATCCTTTTAAGAACCACCTTACGATTCCGGCTACAGAGCTACAATAGTAGCGGCTTGTGCAACGTTTAGTATTCCCAAGCCAAGACACCAACACAGCACACACAACGCACAACGGCATCCATTCCAAAGATGCGGCGAACCTCAGGCCTACCTGCTTTTGTAGGTACATGTACCTCGCTTGCTTCACCTTCACCCTCGGCAACCGCTGAGGACTACAGCAGACTACAGCAGTACGTGGAGAGCCAATGTGACAATAAAAACAGGAGCACAACAACAACAACACCAAATGATTACTCAACGGTTGACCATCCGCAGCAATAGTCTCCAGGGACCATAACTACTGCTGTAGCCCCGCCACATGCTCGCGGTTTGCTCTACAAATATTACCGCAGTTTATCCCCTGGTTTGAGGTGATGTGTTGGGAGATTCGGAACTCGATCTAAGCAACACCCACGTACACAAGACATGCACGCGCAGCGGTTGTCAAGCCATTGACGTTACACGTACAATGTTTCGGAGTGACGTACGTACGGCACGTTTACGGTACGTTGACGTTAACCTTCTACCTGTGCAGGATGTCACTCGAAATGCCGTTTCCAAAATTCGACCAACTTGGCGTATCCTCCGGTTATTCCTATCGACACTTGACAAATACCCGCTGCGGGGGTCCACGCAGTTGGTATTCTAGCTTCGAAACCGTGCGGCGATACTAAATACGAAGTAGGTCGGTACCTGGTGACAACACTTCAGTATATTAGATAGCTGTCACGAATTTCGGCTAAGTAGTCTGCTGCTGTAGGATCGTATTGTGGACAGGCGCATGCACGGGAAGGGTAGGCTGCACCTTCACCACTATCCCGTCGGGAGCGACAGTACAGGGTAATGTATGCACGCCAAGAGAATCTATCTGTTTTTTCAGTACCCATTGGTCGGAGTTGCTTCCACCTTCAACAGAGACAGAGAAGCCTTCAAGAGAAGAGAGAGAAAATCAAGACCGTGTGCACAGGTTAGATGGAAATGCAAGCAGCTGTTTTTGATTGGAGTGCAGGCTTTCGTGATGTGCACTATTAGTACGGCAGTATACCCCCCTCTTGACGAACATCCCCCGTTCTTGTTCCAATTCCCTTGTCGCCGAACATCTGGGTACATTTCATGTGTACGATCAATCAGGCCCGAACAGCCGCAGGGAACAGGGGACGAAGGCAGCAGCCTGCATTGCTGTTGCTGTTGCTGTTGTTGCTGGTGCTGCTGGTGCTGCCGGTTCGGCGGCAGCAAGACTTCTAACAGCAGAGGATGCTCTAGAGATCACCGTGGAAGTGCGGTCGCTGCGACACCTCCCGCAGTCGTTTTTCAACGAGGACAAGGAGAAGGAACTAGCGCTCAGACAGCACGGGCAACAACAGAGGCATCAGCGTGGACGGGGGAGCGTCGACTACCGGAAGTGCTGGAGAGCGCAGGCAAACATCGCCAACGAGACGCGAGAGACGGGGAACTCGACATGGGGCAGGGGCGGGAGGTCCCGCCAGGCGATGTGGCTGCGGGGCGCGGACAAGGTGTCGTGGAGCCTGCCCGAGCAACAGTTCAAGCAGGTCAATGCGTACACCCCTGTCTGCAAGGTGATGTGGCCTATTATGACTTGTTATTACATAGTGAAGCAAGAACAGGACAGCAGTATAGTTAGTAGTCGCTTGAATTCGTAGAGTGGAGCAACGTTGTGCATACCTGGAGCAACAGCGACGACTTTGCTGTAGTCCAATCCTGGGATGTTCTCGCAGCAGTGAGTTCCCAGAGTTTTTCACAGCTAAACAGAGGGTGGAACGCACATTTGGTCAGTGCTGTCGGGGGGAGCGTCGTCTGTCGCAGCCCTCGCCGTAGCGCGAGTTTGACACCCGCACAACTTCGCGCAAGGAATTACCGCGGATATTTTTTTGTCACGGGCCCGCTTGGACACTGCTGCTGCTGTCCGTGTTGTACGCCACACAACAGCATCAGCGAAGTGAACCAAGCTCAACGACCGAGAGAGAGGCCAAAACAAACACGGACCAATCCCTTTGGGATCCAACATCCCATGATAATTTCTTCTTCTGCCATCGTTGGAAACACCCTGCGTTCTTGTTCTTTCCGGCCGACAGCAACTTCCCTCGCACCTCTCGTTTGTTTCGCTCCCAACATCCCCCCCAACCGCAACCGTTTCCAGGTACACGTGCACGCCACCAACCCCGACTCCCCCACAATGGACACCTCCGATTCGGTGGGCTGGTTCATCGTCGACATGCGAGACCTCACCGGGCAGCGTCAGCAAGAACGCTGGGTCAAGCTCCAGGGCGCTAGCCCCGCGGAGGTGCTGATATCCTCCCGCCTGGCCATGGCGCGCGACCCGCAAGAGGACCCCTGTAGAGAAGGGCACGAGCAACGAGGCCGACCGAACAGCGGTCACCGGGGGAATGATTCGGCGAAACCCTCTGCTTCGAAAGCAAGCTTCGAGGGTGGTTCTCCAACGGCCGCGTCGGGTGCCGTTTCCCGTCGCTGCTGCAGCACCAGCAGCAGTGCTGGAAGACGGCGAGGTTGCCGTCCATACCGGGGTCGACAGCACTGTCTCCGAATCCGAGGAGCCTTTGGCAGCCTCGACTGCTGTCGACGCGGTGTCCGACCTCGACGCCCTACCGGTTGGGCCGGGCGCGGACGGGCAGGACGCCC